CACGACGCTTATTTCAGTGATGTGAAAAGGCAATTTATTGTAAATCATGTCTGTTCGTGAGCCGTGAGGGCATTCATTGTGGTGTCTAAAGCTTTTATTTTGTATTTTGCCGTGCTAAAATGTATTTATTATGCTTTCTAGAAGCTCGATCATGAGCCAGGCCAGCACTGTGCCTACCTACCTATTTTTAATGAAACACCCACTATACCTAATTATCTAATTACCCATAGGTTATTCATGAATGTTGTGAAGCACAGCATTCTGTGTTTAAATATCTGAGATTCACCTTCATCCCAATAAATACTGGGCTATAGTCTCTAGATAATGGTCCCATTCTCACAACACTGAGCTTACACACTGGCAAAAATATCCCTTATTTTACAGACAACACTTATTTTGTATGTCCCTAGGTATATACAAGTTATATACAAGTAATAATAGAGATTACTGTGGTATGTCCTCCCATAATGCGCTTCCATTAGTGTTGATTAAATTGATCTGTCATTAAGTAATCAAGTATGTTGAAGTGTCTATTGTTTGCAATGATAAGTACCTCTATGAAACTAAGTGATATGTCTATTTCTTTGATATACTGTTATTTATATTATATTATATTATATTATGTATTGTTTTAGAGCTTATTTCAGAAACTTAAAATATTGTTTCTCATAATATAGGTAGATCTTTTTATTTTGAGTAGCTATTTTTGGGCCCATTTATAGCCCTGTATATTCATTATATCGAAACTATGAAGCTTATATTGTTATATTAATTGGTCTAATTTTATATTTTTATCTGTTGAATTCATTAAATGGTATATTTGCTGGTAGAAAAACAAGGTGATTCAAGGTTAATTTGCTTAACCTTGAATGATTTGTGGAGCTTATATTTTTGATCTTCATTAACCGCCAAATACCTAAGTATTTAAATTTTAAATTGTTGACATTTTTACTTGTTGATTAGTAATTAGTAATAATAATAACAAAAAAAAAAAAAAACATTCAAATTAAACTTACTTAAATGCAAGGTATTATCTGAATGGGTAATATAATTTTATATTAGTTATTCAGATAATATAATTTTTAAACAAAAGTTTGAATCTAATTTCAATTGAATTGTTAACAGGGTCCTACAAGAATATTGTTAAAATATTGTCTTTTTGCAACACTTCATGAGATCAGAGCATGTATAGATAATAATTAATATTATATTAACAACAATAAACACTTTTTGGCATACTATGTTGTTACTTCGACGTACAAGGCAGTAACTCTAAAATATGAAAAAATTAAGATAATGAAATATTGCATTTTGGTTTTTAAAGTATTAAATGTTTAACTGTTTAAATATTCTTTTGTTTCTGATAGAATATTTTTAAAAAAATCACATTTTATAATGTATAACACATGGCATATAATTGTATATTTATTATTTAGCCACTTTTTCCTTGCATAATTGCATCATATTTGACACTTTAAATGCATATAAATCTGGGCTCTAATAATAAGGCATCTTATTTCAAGTCACATTTTACTTTTCCTAGGATTTTTGTAACTTAGTCACTTTTTTTCCGAGTACTTATTGCTATCAGCACTGTAATAGTGATTGCTAGGAAAACTGTAAGGATAGTTTGATCAGTCATTCCAAATTAAAGGGATTATCCTGTTTTAAAAAAAAATTGGCGTTCCACTTTTGTCCCATATTGATAAGAATTCAATGTTTTTAATTTTTATGTCAATACATTTTTACTACATAATTATTTCATGTATTTAGTTATACAATTTATACCATTTGGGCGTAGTGACCATCATCATTATTCCAATCATAAATTATTATGATTATATTTTAACTACCTACCTACGAAGTATATTTTACTATTTATAAATATTAATTTTATAAAGAAATAAAATTAATTAAGTAGTAAGCATTTTATAGTTTTATCCAATTGATATCGTTAGTTATAAAAAACTTGTAGAAAGTGTTCCCCTTTTCGGCAGAACAACAAATTATGGTCACATACATTATATACAGATCTGCAGTAATGGACTATTTCTAAGATGATTAAAATATAATAATATTACATGGACAATGAATATACAGGATATAGATATTTCGATAAAATAAAATCACTCTAACTTTTGTTTTGACTATAATTTATAATTGTATGAATTTCTGTACCTATATAAATCAATTAATTTACTTGAAATGAATATTAATAATAAGTTATCATAAACAAACCTATGTAAGATGTCTGTAAGCTAAATTATAACATAATAATATCCTATCTATTTATCCGAAATATAAAGAATTATATTTTTAGAACCTTTTAGAAACTTTATTAGAATATTAGATGCTTTATTTCGAAATAGAATACAACATAATATTGTACTCATTACTGTTTTATTCATATATTAATAGAACATATACCTACTTAATTATGTATTAAAAAAAAAATAGAAAAAATTATATTTAATTAATTTAAATTTTATAGTTGCAAGTAATTTTATACTCTGTTAATTGTATACAATATTGAGCATAATGTTTATGAATATTTTTTTACATTACATAACCTTATGCTTCATTATTGTTTACTAGTAAGGACTAATGAATTATGATATTACTCAGTATACACTATACAGATAATACTTACATATCAGTAGTACTAAAGTCGGATTATTAAATGTCTAGATGGGTAGGTACCAAACTATTAAATGTTCAGATTAACAATATCATGATTAATTAAAATCTATATATTTGAACTTTGCCTTTCAGGTTAATGTTACCATAGACTTATTACATTATCTCCTGTAATCTCCTCAGAAAATACTTCGCTTCTTAATACTTAACACGTTGACTGCCACGCGGCCCCCGGCGGCCATAATAATATGTATCATTGGTGCGCCAAGCAAATTTTCTGGTGTCATTACAAATTTGTATATATACTATTGAATTGTATGTTTACTAAAAAATTCAAAAAAAATATTAAAAATATGTTTATTACATCAAAAAAATTGTAATTTTTCCAACTACGCCACGGCGCATTTTTCAGTTCATTATTGTAGCGCCATGGAAAAGCTAATAATATAAATCTAAATTCATTTACGGCAGCCCGCGGCCGTATGGCCTCCTAGGAATGATATGGTGCGGCAGCCGGCGGCCTAAAAATGATCGATACGTAATTATTTTTATGCGGCCGCATGGCAGTCAACGTGTTAATATTAATTTGAGCATATTTTATTTAAACCTATAAATAAGATTTAAAAGCACAGGGCTGGAAGTAGGTCACTTTTTTAAAATTGACTCACTTTAAGTCACTTATTTAGAAAATAAGTCACTTATGTCACTTATTTTCAAAATGTACCTACATTTATATTTAAACTGCATATGGCCACCAACTTAATATTTGAATGTACAGTAACATGCCTGAATCGCGGTAAAAAAAGTCCCGACGAAAATGAATGAAAATATATCAAAACTGAAGTATAAATATATTAAAATTGTATTGAAAAATACATTTAAGTTACATAAAATATTATATAATATCATAAAAAATGTTAATTGCTTACTTAAATCATATATTAAATTATAATGAAATTTAATTTAATACAAGTCCAAAATAATAAAATTTAATACATATACAATAATCAATAATAAATATAATTATAGTACCTACCTATAGAATTATAATAAAAATGCTATAAAATAATAAAAATGTAATATTATAATTAAGTACACCTCTTTCTTGTGTTATGACTTACGGCTGTTGAATAGGCTTGTTTATAGGCATATAACATATTATTATACCAATATCTTTGTTTTTATGTAATGTTCCTAATCAAACTTTCGTATATTTATTAGTCTACTACATTTGAAAAACCATCCGGGATGAATTCCTATTATAACAAACCATAGGCGTGTTTTTTAGTTATGATTAAAATAAAGAAAGTTCCTAAACAATGATCTTGAATATTATTCTAAATTATAAACATTATAAATTGAAATGGGTAATATGATTTAATCATTTGTTATTAAAATTTGTGTTTATTATTATCATTATTTTTTTGTAATTTCAACAAAATTAAGTAAGTTAGAATCAATTAAATCATAGGTATGTAGAGATTCAAAGACAAATGTTTAATAACTGAAGTTGTTATGAAACAAATGTATGTAGGTAACTTTTTTGTCACTTTTATGAATAAATTCAGTCACTTAGTCACTTTTTTAAATAGCCTTAACCACTTCCAGCCCTGAAAGCACTTAGGTAATACCTAAATATTGAGTGCTAAATTATTCTCAAATATGCAATATATTTACAAAATAAAATATTTCTATTACAGTATTACCTACAGCCTACTCTGGCATAAATTATTACCTGTGTACCTACATTATTAGACTTAAATTGTGTTTGTGTTTTTATCCTTATAAAATATAAATGTATTTTGATAATTACATTATTTTGTCCTCAGAATTCAAAATTTATTTATGATGGTACCTTTTTGTAAATATCTGTTGAACCTCAAACAGTATCCTGATTTAAAATTAATAATTTCTAGGTTTGTATGTTTCCTTTTCCTAAATGATAATCCTTTATTTATTTTCTTTGGTTACCTATTTAAATGTATTATATTTTATCTACCTAATACATTTTAATTTAATCTTTAAAGCTGCATTGTATCTTATTTAAAAAAAAATATAAGTACCCAACCAATTAAAATTATTATTACTTTATGCCTTTATTGCTCAATTTTAAATCTATTGAATTGAAACTAAAATTATATTATTCACTTCCATAACTTTTTGTATCAATAATTAATATTATATTTATATCATTGAAGAGCAATTTGACCGTAACCTCATTCTGACATTGCCATATAAATATATATTTGATTATCAGCCAAAACAATCTTACAATTGTTTATCTGTTATTAACGATTCATTTTATTATTGTACTTAGACACTTGCAGACTTCAAACTTCAACCGGTTTCCTTGTAAAGAAAACATGCCTATTTCAAAGATTGTAGCTCGTTCGATTTTCGACTCCAGGGGTAATCCCACTGTAGAAGTAAGTATTTTTTTTCTTTTACAGTTTTATTTCCAAATTCAATATATTTTATGATTTATTTAATAAATAGGTTGACTTAACCATCGACAATGGACCAGTTTTTCGTGCAGCAGTACCATCTGGTGCTAGTACTGGTATCTATGAAGCATTAGAACTTCGTGATAATGAAAAGTGTAATTATCTTGGAAAAGGAGTAAATACTGCCGTTAACAACATAAACAACATCATTGCACCTGCTCTTATTAAAGCGGTAATTAAAAATTATTTAATTATTTAACTAATATATTATAATGTCATCTTCGTAGTGCTAAGTTAATAGTTTTAATTTACTACTTATTATTAATTATAATTTTATTTGATATGCGATAATTTTAATTGGAAGGATAATCAAGGAATAACATTTATCATGTGTAGATAAAATCAATACATACATAAAGTACATTTGATATATTATTTTATTTGTAGATAGGTAGTACTTTCTTGTTTGTATATTATTATAAATATTGAATATTGCCTTTTGTCTATGGGATTTTATAGTAACAAATAACAATACATATTAATATTGAAGCTCTCTTCTAATTACAAACAATAATGTTATCATTCGAAAGTAAAAATTTAAAATGTATAAATAGCTCAAAATGAGTAGAAAATGTTTCTATAAATATTTCATAAATATATTAAGCCTATAGATATTTGTTTTTGATTTACAGCGAAAATAAAAATCAATTTTGTTGATAACTGTTTCTGTTTCTATGTAAATATTCTCTCCTTTTTTTTTTTTGTAATATTGTTTTTCCTCATTATTACTTTGAAAAATACTTTGGAATTTTCTTTTGATACTCCAAGTTCTTTTGTATCCAATTTTCTAACAAACACATCCTGTGTAGTTAAATATTGGAGCATTTTTTTAAAAACACATTGTTGTAAAACTATTCTCTGTTTAAGTGAGTTAAGAGACATAGTCGACGATACTATACTGTAGAATAATACATTCATCACTCTTCTCAGAAATTAAAATAAATAAAAAGTTACCATTAAGATTTAAGGTATAATAACATATTTTATTATCAATTATGTTTGTTATAGGGACTCATCGTTACTGAACAAAGAGCTATTGATGATATTATGTTAAAATTGGATGGAACTCCAAACAAAGCTAAGCTTGGTGCCAATGCTATTTTAGGAGTTTCATTAGCTGTAGCTAAGGCTGGCGCTTTCAAGAAAGGCGTTCCTCTTTACAAGTAAATAAATAAACATACAATTGTATTAAAAATTAGTCATAATTGATACTACATAGTACATATTAATATATTAAATTTCAAATGTAATCATAAAATTGCCGATTGGAGTTTATAAATAAAAAATAAGTAATAATAATTAATTAATTATTATGAAATAGGCACATTGCTGATTTGGCAGGAAACAAAGAAATTATTTTGCCCGTTCCAGCTTTCAATGTTATCAATGGTGGTTCTCATGCAGGAAATAAGTTGGCTATGCAAGAATTCATGATTTTGCCTACTGGTAATACATTTATATTTATAGTACTAATATGAATACTGAGTAACAAAGTCCATTGTTTCAATTAGTTAGTTATATAAAACTAAACTTGTTTATAAATTCAGAAATTTTTATTTTTATAAAGGAACACCATACCTAATTTTTGTTAGACATGTCAATTTTATATTCGGTTCTATTACTGGAATGGCATAGGAATGCATGTATGTACTATCCAGTGATGTAGTGGAGGGTACACGCGGGTACACGGCGTGTACTCACCTCCCAATTTTAGATTAATGCGTGTACCCTTAACGAAAATCGTGGCTCGAGGGTACACGGGCCCTGAAAAATACGTATTAACGTTACCCAATTATACTTAGTCAATAAAATGTATTTAGGAAATATTATTGGGTAATATAGTATAATAAATTACAAACAATAATTCAATAATAAAAAAAAAGATAAGCGTAATTTGTTTATTATAAATAGTAGATAATAGTAATAAAATGTTCATAGAAAAATATAGAAAAACTCGATCAGCTGATTGGGTTTAAGTTTACCTACCTATGATCTGAAGTCTAAACCTAGGAAACGAGCCCGTTAACCTACATGATGTTACTATGTTAGATCCTTGATTACCCGTATTCAAAAAAGACTATCGAAAGTTGGTTAACCTCACATAGAGATGCTGATGACAACAAGTCAAGAAAAGTTAATATACCACTACAGACCCAAACCAAGACCTAAATTACAAACTATGGGAATTACGTCTTGAATAATATAAAAATATTTTATAATAATAAAAAATAATAATAATAGGTATGTTTCATTAATTTGTTAATTATATTTTAAGAAAATGTATGGTTATGCATTTTTTTTAATGGATTATGTGTTTAAAATATATCAATCAAAATTTATGAGGTTCTATTGTATATTATATAGACAAATAGATGAAGTATTGAACGAGTTTCAAATAATGGTGGAGGACTGGGGGGTTTGGGGGGCATATCCCCCCAAGTTAATTTTTACAATGATTAAGGCGTGTACCCATGAATTTTTTTAGGACTACATCACTGGTACTATCTATCTAATGAGTAATGTGGATAATGGTTGGGAAGTATACTCCACAGTCTTCACATATTAATTATAATTTAATATTCCCAAAGATTGAAAGAAATACATAAATCCCTAGTACAAAGAGTGATGTTAAATTTGACTTTAAACAGATATTTATTCATTGTCTTAGAAAAATAAATCCTATAAACAAGTAATTTTAAAATATGATTACAAAGTTATTTCAAATTGTTATGAATAACTTGTTTAATCCGACGTACGGCGCACGGAGTAAATAATCACCACATGTACATTTATATTACGCATAGGAAATAGATGTGTTAGACTGTCCGCCATAAATTTTACACCAAAAAAATAGGAAAAAAAATGTATAATCACTGTATGTAAATTACACCTGTTATACCAAATGTTTCTGAGGGGCATATATTCCCCTCTTGCGTGTAAATGAGATATCTATAACCGTGCGTCTTACAACAGGTGAAAAATCATCAAAAAACACTAATTAATCTGAGCTCCATTTTTTGAATGCTGTAAATCATATTCTCAAAATGTTAATACTACTAAAATAAACTGTATGCAGTTAGAAAAATACTCAACTCTCATGTTCTGTATTTAACTTATTTTAATTGTTTATGAATAGGTGCAAGTTCTTTTACCGAGGCTATGAAAATTGGATCTGAAGTATACCATACCCTTAAAAATGTTATCAAGGCTAAATTTGGATTGGATGCTACAGCTGTTGGTGATGAAGGTGGTTTTGCTCCCAATATTCTTGAAAACAAAGAAGGTTTGCGTTTAATTGAAACCGCTATTGAAAAGGCTGGATACAAAGGAAAAGTTGAAATTGGAATGGATGTTGCAGCTTCTGAATTCTATGTGTAAGTATTTCACTTGATTTAGTTTTTGTTATTACATTGTTAGTTATATATTATATGATTTTTATAACTGTGATAATAATTATTTCAGTGATGGAAAGTACGATTTGGATTTCAAAAATAAGTCTGACAGCAAAGACAAAAGCCAAATCATCTCAACTGAAGCTTTAACAGACTTGTACAAAGAATTCATTAAGGAGTTCCCAATGGTTTCAATTGAAGATCCATTTGATCAAGATCATTGGGAAGCATGGACTACACTTACTGCATCTACTGACATCCAGGTATTCATTAAATCAATTAAAAAAAATAACTTATTCTAGGGAATGTTTAAGAAGAAATTTCACATTTGTCACTATATTAAATAAGTACTTTACATTGTAAAATTACGGCCAGCAGTTTTCATTAAGCCAGTATTAATATAAAAGTACATTATTCTATTATTTAACTTATTGTTAATGACATTTTCTTGATGTTCATTGAAGGTGTTTTACTTTATATGTATTTTAATTTATAACCGAGTTTTGAGCATTTTTAAGTTATAATATTTTACAATTAATTTAAAAATTAATATACCTAAAATACACTTCCAACAACCTCCAGAAATTGTTGTTAATAGAAATTATTGTCCCATAATATTTGTGTTTATAAATCAGAACCTTAAAAAGTAGTTTTTGTAGTCTAAAAATATAATTTATAATCTGTCTTACAAAAGTACGGTAAATTATCTTGACAGAAACTGGTTAGTTTAGTGCATCTTCCATGCCGCATCTCACCTAGTACTTCCATTATAGTATGGTGTCTAATATGAAATCAGGCATCTTTAAGAGGACTCTTCACACACATTTGTTCACATTTGTTGTCTCTGTCTTACAAGTAAGTAACATGGCAAATTTACACTCAGCAGTTCACGTTCAGTTTCGTTAGTTTAAAAATTAGAATGAATCTACCTAATATAAAATTTAATAGTAAGAATATTATCCATGTTTGGTAATGGGTTTTTTGTGCAATCATTCAATTTTTAAGTGAGTTATGATCATTTTTAATTTTCCACTAAAAAAATTGCACAATCATAAAAAACGCTATCAAACACGATAATGTTCTTACCATTAACTTTAAAAATAGGTCAATTCACTCTAATTTCTAAAATAATGATTTGATCTTCTGAGGGTAAATTTGGTATATTATACACTTGTAAGACAGAAACAACCAATGCGTTTGTAGTGTCCTCTTTATTGTGTTATGTCAGTAATGATCGAAACACATTGAGTAACTTGTTACTCTAGAGTTCAGGGAGGGAATCAACAGGAGCAGTTTCTGTAGCTCATTTTACTTGTGCTAAATGGTAACTCTCTTTCGTGTGATAAATTATAGATATTTTGGTTTTATAGTATTTATTATTTTACAATATGAAATATACTTTAATTTGTGGATATTATAGATTGTTGGGGATGATTTAACTGTAACCAATCCAACACGTATCGCCGAAGCAGTAGAAAAGAAAGCTTGCAACTGTTTGTTGCTTAAAGTCAACCAAATTGGTACTGTTACTGAATCCATTGATGCACATTTGTTAGCTAAGAAGAATGGTTGGGGTACCATGGTATCTCATCGTTCAGGCGAAACTGAAGATACATTCATTGCTGATTTAGTTGTTGGATTGAGTACTGGACAAGTAAGTTTTTAAATAATAACCACTATAGGTATAAACACAGTACTGTTAGAGATTGTTCTCACCAAAGCAACTAGCAACCGCAACTCGATCGTGCAACTCGTTGGGTTGCAGTCGAGTTTAAATTGCGTTGCGTTCAGTGTTCTCATTGAACAGAATTATTTACCTACTTTGCAACTGCAACTGTTTGTTTTTTATTATTATGTTGTTTAGTGAGTGTTATATCCTCTCAGTAGTCAGTTGTCTCCCAGTGTATCTCAAGTAGTGAAGTCAGTAATTTAATATTTTTGGTAATTAAATATGTCTTCATCTGTTGTTGCCTATTTATACTTAAAAAAAAGAAAGAGGCAAAGAAAGAGGCGGTTTTGGATTCATCCACACTATATTAGAACTGTGTACTGTGCTACAGTACATTTATTGTTTCAAATGAGTTGGATCAAGATCCAGAAAAATAAATAAATAAATAATTAATGATCGTACGGTGGTAACTAATACGCAACTGGAGAAAAAACCGTGCATGTCGAGTTGCTTTCAATCCATTGCAATTAAGTTTCATGCAAGTTTCATGCAAGTGGGAACATGTTCGTTAATTTGTTTGTGCTCCGTTGCGTTGCAATCAAGTTGCGGTTGCAAGTTGCTTTGGTGAGAACAATCTCTTAGAATACGTCTGAATGGTATCTTTTATGCTTATATTACTCATAAATAGAGATAGGAAGTTGATAACCTATAATTAGAGCTATGGGTGTGATGATGGGTATCAGAGTAATTTAAAATATTAATTGTAAAATAAATATACAATATTAAATATTTAAATTTTAAGTTTAATTTACAGTAAAAAAAAATTATGATATTATCTATCTATATATATAAAAATGAATGTATGTCAGTGTGTCTGTGTGTCTGTGTGTCCATGTTACCATGGTTACCAAGGTTGCCATGGTTACTAAGGTTACCAAGATTTCATATCAATCTATATCTATATATATAAAAATGAATGTATGTCAGTGTGTGTGTGTGTGTGTGTGTCCATATTACCATGGCAACCATATCTGTATATAAAAAACAGTAAGCTGATTGACTGCTATCAACGCACAGCTCAAACCATTGGACGGATCTGGCTGAAATTTGGCATACAGATAGCTATTATAATATAGACGTGCGCTAAGAAAGGATTTGCCAAAATTCGCATTTTAAATAGGTGCTGAAACAGGGACATTGAGATTCACGATAGAAATTGGAAATTTTATTTTTATTTATTTATAGTTGCCATTGGTTACAGTCTACATTAGAAATTAGCATTTATTTATTGGTTGCCATTGGTTATTCGGGCAGATCAGGTACAAGCTTGCATCAAATCGAATTATTGAACAATGCTTACCAGGGTGGCAGAGTTGCACTTACCGCAGAAAATTACACCCAAAAGGAGTTCAACAATCATAATTTTTTTAAGAGTTGCGATTTTTTACGAGCAACTAAATTTATTATATTAATCCACAGTATTACATCAAAATAAACTTGGTATAACTTTGATACTTTAGAGTTAAATCATACACTTCCGTACAAACAGCACGGGGTCCGCGATCTACCGCAGGTAGATTGCCTACCTGATAATGTACTGCTGCGATTCAGAATTTTTATTCAGGGCAACGGGAAAGATAAGATAAATTTTGAACACCATACACGTTAATGAATTGAACAAAGTTTGAGTAGGTAGTATTGAGTTGATCCATTTAACGGGCGACGAAGTGCACGGGATCAGCTAGTTAAAAATAAATTAAAAAGTAAAATAGAAATAAAAAAAATTAAGCCGTGGTGGTGTGACATAAACATAGCGCTCCTGCTCGATATTTTCCACTTAGAAGACAATTTATGAATCATCAATTTGTATTATTAAGGAACCATTTATTGTATATATACCTAGTGGGAATTAGGTAATTTTTACATTTTATTAGTTTCTATGGTGATAAAAAACGGGATAGATTTTCTGGGATAAAATTGGGTCACCGTCCTAAAATGGTTGAGAACTACTGCCCTATAACATGAAAAAATGTTAAAAACAAAAAAAAAAAAAAAATGTACAATAAAGATAGTATATTCTGCATCAAGGGAGTATGAAAAAAATATTTAGCTAAGATAGCAATTTATAGAATCTAAGGAAAAAGACTAAGTGATTAATAATAATAATAATTTTAGATTAAGACTGGAGCTCCTTGCCGTTCTGAACGTCTTGCCAAGTACAACCAAATACTTCGTATCGAAGAAGAATTGGGCAGCTGTGCCAAGTACGCAGGAAAGAATTTCCGTAACCCACAAGCTGGAAACTAACTATTTCTTCTAATGAATACCTAAGAAGCATATTTAAAAATAAAATCTGAGCAAGGAGGAATCACATACTAATAAATACCTCATTATTTATATTCTGTGAAAACAACAATAGTTGTCAAGTTATTAATTCAAAATCGGTATATACTTTAGCATAGAAAAAATACGTACAAGAATAACTATTATTAAACAACATCCTAAATTATATTATTCGATTGTTTATGTTTTTGTAGCAATTTGTTGTGTGTTAATGTATAGTTGTGTGAAAGCTTTTTAAGCTGCAAACGTTTTTGTAAAAGTAAATTTTTTTAAAAATTAAAATATATATTCTACTTGATCAGTCATACTTGTGTTTTAAATTTAATCTGTGTAATGTAACTAAAGTATTCTTTTTATTTGATTTAAATTCATAAAATCAATTTGAAATTGTATAAATGAGTCAATTTGTGAGTGGTCGAAGTAAGTGTAAGTGATTTAACAATGATATAACTTAATTTTTAATTTAACTTTCTTGATTTTTAATCAAGTAAGTATGTTAATTGAAATGAAATATGTCTGAATTTTGAAAACTTCCAGAATTTGTGTTAAATAGAAAAATAATAAAAATGTAACTCAGTAATGATGAGAAGGTGAAGAATTTAGCTAGCTTTAACATAAAATATTAATGAAGGGATTTGATATCACACCCAAGTGAATTAACTATTTAAGATAAAGTTCTGAAAATCTTCACTGCACATCTGCACTTCTCCTAACCAATGTAAATCTAACAAGACCCCAAACAACGAAATCCGCTCTCTTGTTTTGAAGATCTATCTAGTGAAATGAAAATGATTTTTGTGGGCGGTTCACACTGATATCAAATTGTTATACCGCTTGGGTGTGATATACTGATATCAGTTAATAAATTTCTAAAAATCAAAAATCAAGAAAATTTACTTGTTGATCCCTGACTTGGCAAGCGTTTTATATAGTTGTTATTTCAAAATAACTTATTTTATCAGGTACTTAACTAAGTTGATACATTTTAATGAAATTGTCAGTAAGTATCATTAATCATTTTATATAGGGAATTTATATTAAAATATTTTTGTTTTATGACATTCTAAGAATAATCATAGGAAATATACATGAATCCCACACAATCACACATCACATCGCATATTAAATGCTGCAAATGTAATTATGGACTGGATGTTTAAGTCTAGGTTAGTTAAAGTTAGCCTCTCAAAAAAATAAAAAAAATAGTGGGCAAGTGGTTGTCTTTATGCTGTGCAGTAGGTTATAATTAGTGGGTCACTGTATTGAATGGTGTTTCATTTGAAATCAATGATGTAATACCATTGTATACAAAAAACGATTCTGAGCGAAGACTGTCAGTCAGCATATGATATTATATTAAATATTTAATTTTGATAAATTTTGTCAAAATTCGATCTTTAAATGCTCATAAAATAATTTGTGACTATGTATTTTTAATATTTTTCAACTGTTATTGTAACAGTATATCAAGAGCCTTGTATTAAATTTTTACGCTTTTTGGACGATTAGATAAAACTTTATTGATATTTATAGAAAAAAAAAACTAAAAATATTGAAAACTGACAATGTCTGTAAACAGCTCAAAAAGAGTCAAGTTATTTTCAAAACTGTATGGTGTATAGAAAATGCTAATATAAACATTCAGTGAAATTTTCATGTATCTACAGTTATTCGTTTTTGAATGAGAAATCGAGTGAATATCCAATGTTGTAAACATTTGAATTTTAAACGCTCATAAAAATTTAACTTGACTTTCTTATAGACATTTTTTTTTGTTTTTTTGATAAAGGTATATTATCTTATAAGGAATCTTGTATTACCTTACTTTTATCAGTTTTATCTTAGATTTAAATGAAAATTTTTTACGAATTCTTTAGGTACTCAAAATAATTTGCTAATTTTCATGACTTTTCCATATCTTGTCAATTTTTGAACTGGAAAATCGAAGCAGTTTTACTACCCCAAACCGTGATTCCAGACACAAATATAAAAAATAAATAAAAAAAAACACATCATTGTAAAATCAATACATTCATCGTTCCACCCAGAATCTAAAATGATACCTATTAATAAATTGAAATTTGGTTTTACTTTTTAAACAGGGAAATGAAAATTCAACCACTTGCCCCGCAGACCGCTGGGGCGCTGGTCATACAATATAATATATATTAACTATATAGTAACTACCTATATATTACATACTAATATAGTAATATATTATATTAATTTATTAGTATATCTTGGTATTTTATTGTTCTATGGTGTTTATAGTGCACAATAAACTGTTCACCGGTTTACACGGTGTACCGTTCTATCATAATATTATTACACAATAATAATCTGAATAATCGTATTGTTTTCGCACACGTAAATTTAATTAAAATCGTCCGTCCATGTGTTACCTCTCACCACCACTCACCTATAAGGCTACGTATAATATGTCCTATGTGACATTTTATAATAACATTTATACTGAGTGAATCACTATAAGCATGCTTTCGCCCATTTTTTGTTATAATGAAGAATTAATTTAAATTCTGATTTTTTAAATAGGTAGGTATACGTGATAGGACCACATTTTTAAATTATTGAGATTGTTTGTACTATTTACATCTTATGGAGAGTCCTGTGACGACATAAACTTCGGTTGAAAAGTGGATCTCATTTAGAAAAACGATAGCTTTTATATCCACAGGACACTCCGTAAGTAGTATAAAAAATCTCAAGAATTTAAAATACGGTCCTTATATACATATATTTAAAAAGATAAAAATAAATAAAGACCAAAAATAATATTCTGAACCACTGTATTATTGAAAAATAAAAGGAGTAAACATACTTGGTGAATCACCCTGTTCCTGTACATACCTGTACATCCTTTTTTAGTCCGTATTTGTGCCCCTATTCTCTCTCTCTCCTTAATCCTACCTACCCTACTTGCATAATATATGCATATTATGGGTTGTATATAGGTACACATACTACACAATGTGCACATGTATTATACAATGTACATAATATAATATATATATATAGGTATTAGGTACTCTTTATGAGTATAGATTATGTAGACACGTGCAACGATTTAAATTTTTATCTTTCGTCACGTCCAGCAATATTATGCAACACCAGCATCACGAGTATTATTGTCGCGTATATGATTTTCAGATTTTATAAATAATCTTATTTTAATCCGACCCAACGACGAACCCGTAATGGCGCACGGCCGATGGTAATAATAATAATAATAATGATCCGCGGATTATAGGCAACATAAACCAGCACTGTATACACTTTACTGTTGTAACTTGTAAGTCATATTGCAGAAATTAGTCTACTAATTTTGATCAGGTTAGGACCCGTTTGGGTGAGTGAAATTATTTTTATCTGTGTGATTGTGTGAGCGACATGGGCTTTGATGGGCATGTGATGATCTTTTATTAATTATTGATTGTATTATACATTACTATTTTTATTATATTATTAGTTTGATATTATATTATAATAATATAATATCACTATAAAAATATATTATTTTTTAAGTTAATTATTGATTATGTTTATTGTATGTGATTTTATTATTTTTTTAAATTAATTAATTTACATATAAACCTATTTATTCATAATTATTTGTTCATACGGTATTACCGTATTTATTAATAGAAATTAGGTGGTTTGGTAGGTAGGTACGAGTACCTAAATATTATGTTTGGAATGGGGCGAATTTAAAGAGTGCAGTAGGCAGGTACTCTATGAGGTTGGAATTGCGAAAAAACGGCTGCGACGCTAGTACAATACACGTGATATTATTATTAATTTTTTTTTTCCGAGTTAATCGAGGGACGGAGGAGGAACTGTGTTAGCATAACTTCTCCTAAATTTAGCATTACTTCTTCTATTAGCATTACTTCTCCTCAAGCCCGGATTAAGGAGGGGTCCAGGGGGGGCCATGGCCCCCGGGCCTCCATTTATTTAGGGGCCTCAGATTTGTCCATTATAGGCTATAACACCTCATAAATCACTTTAAAAAAATCGATGATTATTTAGCGAGGAAAAAAGCTTGTAAATTATAATTTATAAATAAAATGATACTTAATTCTTGATTTATTGCTATGTACCTAATACCTATATATATTTATTATAACAGGTACCTATATATTAATATACATTATTTTTTTTTTCGTACAGGGGCCTCATTTAAACTTTGGCCCCTGGGCCTCAAAATGTCTTAATCCGGGCTTGCTTCTCCTAATTATTATTAATAAATAATACATAATACCTGCCCAGGGCCGGGCGTCAACCCCCCCCCCCCCTCACCCTTAATTTTTCTTAACTATCAGTCGGCATTTTCTTAATAACAGAGAGCTGTCAGAACGTTTGTTTTAAGAAACTACTGGTCAACATTTTTACAAGTCGGCAAATATTTGATCTCACCAAACCACCTAATTATTATGTGTATGGTGGATTGATCATTGTTGAATAAAATTGTTGTTTTGTTTTTGGCCATCGGTTTGCATATTTGAATGCCTATATATGCATGTAGGACCTAATACAAACATAATAATATATAATATTATCTAGGTAGCCGGTAGGTATATTTTATGCGTTTTCATTGTTTTACTACAGTTACCTACGAACTGTATACCTATTATCTATGTTTTCAACTTTTAAATTTAATACAACTATCAAATAACGAAACCAAACGAAATAATAATACTTACCTAATATTACTTATATTTACTTATACTTAGGTACCTTAATATTGGTATCATCTATGATCTGGAACACTTATTATTACATCATAAATCACAAATCACAATAGTAAGTAGTAGATAACATCACGAACAGGGACAAATGAATGCGGTCGTTTGGACGCAAGGACAAAATTATATTAATTAAATTCTTTAAATTTTACATATTATATCTACGAAAATAATATAACTATATATATATAATATATTATA